GAAGAGCGGGGAGGGGGCGTCCTGTGAGGGGACCGGGCCTGGGGGAGGAGGCCTGGGGACGGCTGGCCCGGCCCCACTCCTTGATTCTGGAATTACATCGCAGCCAGTTGGCCCCTTCCAGGACCCACAGGACCAGGTTCCCAGCCCCTCCTCCCTCAGACAGAAGACCATCCCCAGGCTTCCCTAGGGGAACCAAAAGTTAGAATCAGTCCGGAGGAGTGAGTCAGATACTTAGACAACCAGATAAATATTTATTTTCTCCTTGATTCTTTGGCCTTTTCTTCTGAAACCTCATAGTCCTGAGCAGCTCCACTGCCAGTGCTGAACCAGGAGGACTTTATGAAATCGATCACTTTCCCAGACCGAGATAAAAGTATCCTGGTTGGGGTACAAATAGCAGAAACAAGGTTAGGTCCTAATGAGGGAGGAACACCCCTCTCGGCCTCCCTATGTTTGATCTTATTCTAGCAATTATCCAAGCTTCGCCCTCCTAGGTAAGCCCCGCTCCCAGAGGAAGTCCGGCTCTCAGCGTTCCTTGGCTGGAGACCCCTTCTGTATTAGGTAGTTGGAAGCCCCCGCCCCTCGCTCCAAGCCCTGCCTTCTTCAGTGGGCGGCTCACACGGTGGCAACGCTGGCTATCAGCACGACAAAGCCCCAGATCAGCAGCCCGACCAGGCGGCTTCTCAGCACTTTCTCTGGCTTCGGAGACTGTGACTGGAGGGTTGTGGCCGTCTGGGGGCGATCCAAAGTCACCTCACCTGGGGCCACCTCATCCTTGGTTTCAGTGTTTGGTGATGGTATCTCCTCCACGATTCTTTTGGGCAATACTGATAGAACAGGGTTAAGGAGCAGTCCTGGGAGGGCGCGAAGGTCCTGCCAAGGCCAAGGCAAGCTCTCCCCACAGTAACCTGCCCCAGGACCCAGGCCCTCTGGGACATAATTACGCCTCCAACTGCGTGAAGCCCAAACACACCCACAAGGGAGCCCTGGCCCAGTGGCCAGAGGCCACACTCAGGACAGGAAGCCATACCCTCGTGGCCTGAAACCACACCCCGATGGGAAGTTATGCCCCATAAGCCACGCCCCTGAAGCAGGCCACTCCCCTGAAGCCGCCCCACCACCACCACCAGGACCCTGAATCCCACTTCTCTCAACTCCCCAGCACTGACCTGTGACATGAAAATAGATGACCGTGGCTGGACTGGATTGCACAGAGCCCAGCTCGCAGCGATAGGTGCCTGCATCCTTTGGACGCACCATGGTCTTGGTCAGCGTGGGCTCCTTCCCCTTGGACATCAGTGTCTCAGAATTGTTCCCCCAAACCTAAACCCAAGCTCAAGGGGTCACAGAGGCCTGGGGAATTCAGGGGTTGGGGAGTACAGGGGTGAGAAGATCATGGGGCTTCAGTGGGAAGATGGGAGTCCAGGGTGTACTGGTCAGGGCATGGGGTCCCAGGGGATCAGGAGAAGCCAAACTTGGTAGGTCATGGGTGATGGGCATTATGGGTGCAGGCCTGTGGATACAGGGGCCAGGGGGCTCAATGCAAGCCTGATGGAGTTCAAGGGTAACAGGAGTTGGAGGGCCCCACCCTGTAAAAGCTGTAATCGGTCAGGCCTTGAGAGATTTTATGCCAGTTGAGCTCACAGTCCAGGATCATATCTTCCATCTGATGGACCTTGACTTTGCGCTCTGTGGATAGGGGGTTACTGTGGGATGCTCTTTCACGGTTCTGGGCCCTCTCCCAACCCCTTTCCACTTGGTCTCGCCCAGCCTTTTCTTGTTGGCTGTCTCCAGTCTCCGACCTGTTTAGACTCTTGATCTCTCCTCTGGCTCCGCCCCTCTTGCGCCAACCCCTCCGGCTGGTCCCAGCTTTCTCACCTCCGCAATTCGAGGACTTTCGACAAGAGTGAACCTGCTTCTGGCAGGTACTGCACCAGATCAGAGGCTGCAACATCAAACCTGAAGGGGCAGGTTCGAGGCTGGGTTCTCCCACTAAGAGGAGGGGCTAAGAAGAGAGGGCAGGGCCAAGGGCTGGGGTGGGCTCAAGAGCCGAGTCCTGAGGAGGTCGGCCTGCGGGGCTGGGCTAGAACACAGCCCTGTAGGAAGCCGGTCTAACCAAGATCAGTAAAGAGTGCAAAAGGTATATGCCCGCTTCCCAAGAAATCCGAGGTGCAAAAGGAATACAGGAGACCCAGGAACCTCTCCACGCAGAGAATGAAAAAACACACAGACCCAAAAGACGGAGGCTGGGTATTCACGGGGCAGGGATGAGGGATAGAGGACCAGTTCCCATAATCCGGACTCACCACACTTGTTGGGACAAAACGCTGCCTCGGTAGAAAGAATTAAAAAAAAAAAAAATCAGATTTCTACGTTAAAGGGGATGAGAGAGGGGGTGAAGGAACAGGCTAGGGCTAGGGTTCTTGAGTTCCAGGAAGGAAAGACTAGGTAGGGTGTCTGGACCCCTGGGTCTGAGGGAGGAAGGGGCTGGGAGAGCTGATGGATGGGACTCGGAGAAGCAGAAGGCTGGGGTCAGGGCCTCTTGGACTCTGTGAAAAGAGAAGGCTGAGATGCCGGACTCCCATCTTCTCTCACCCGCTTTTTGAAACTGAGCAGCGTAGCTGGCAAAATTATCCTTTGCCAGGTGCAACATCCAGAACAGCTCCTTCACGAAGAGCTCACCTGGGAAGAAGCAGGATGATGCAGAGTAGTCCCCACCCCCACCCTCCTGCTCCTCCCAGATGTGAGGTACAGGAAGTTGACCTCTGCCTGCAGAGCCTGGCTTTTGGGTGTTCTCAGGGTAAGACAATAAAATTTAATGACCACTTAACGTAATGCTGGCCACTGGGCTAAGCAACAACTGGGATGAAGGCTCTGTTATGGTTTCCATTTTAGAGGTGACAAAGCGCTCAACGCCACACAGCTAGGAAACCGGCAGAGCCAGAATTTGAACCTAGGCTGTCTGGTTCCAGAGTCCAGTACCTGACCACCAGACCAGGTGTCACCCGCAATCACTTCCCTGAGTTTCTGGAAGCCCTCTCCTGCCCGCTCTGTGCATTCACCTTTTACATCACTGTCCATGATGCGTTTCAGATCCTTCAGCAAACTCCAAGCTGCCTTTTCCAGTGTGGCCTCATCTGTGGGGGGAGATAAACCCCAGATTCCAAGCATTGCTGTCTCATTGGCTCACCTAGTCTTAGAAACTACAACACCCATGGGGCCAATGGGCAAGGATTGGCCTGGTAAAGGGATTAACCCACGCCGTTGCCTTCTGGGAGTTGTAGTCTTATTTATTACATATGGAATAAAACTGCAGGATAAAAGGTAGGGAGAACAGTATTTGCCAGCCCTGGGGAACCCCAGAATCTGCATCCCAGCCTTCTCCATTCCCGAACCCAGGAGACTGTACCTCCAGCCCTTTCTCCCCAGCACCTCCCAGCAATCCTAGCCCCAGACCCCTCCTTTCCCAGGACCCAGAAGTCGCACTCCGCCCTCACCGACGACCCCCATATAGGAATCCTCGTCAATCGGCAGGTCCTTGAAAGCTTCCACTGCCTGCTTTACCCTTTTCATCACGTTTTTATGATGCTTGGCCTCCAGGTGGCCAGGCAGGTAATCCGTCTCCAAGGAGTTTAGCGCCTCCACGACATTTGGATCACACATGACACAGCCCCGGGCAGGAAGCAGGCAGCCGGCCAGAGCCGCCACCAGGAGGGTAAGCCGCAGCGGCCCCATTGCGGCCAGAGCGCGCAGTTCGCGCCGAACTCCGGGGAGGCTCCTCTTACCCCAAACCGAGAAGGTGAACGCTAAACGGAGAGAAACCCTTCCCCGAGACTAATGGGAGCCCCAATTTGCAGGGCGCACACTTCTCATTAGAAAATCGAGGAGTCCCGAAGCACTCTAAACAGCCGCAGCCCGACCTTGACTCCTGACTGTTGTACCTTCCAACACTAGGGTTCGCTGAAGAGTCCAGGTTCTGAGGGCTTTCAGAGAGAAAGAACAGGCCACTCCTTCCACTCTTTTTCCCACGACTAAAATTAAAGATTTTGGCGGAGGAGGGTGGTGAGGGTGAGGCTGGTTGCGTGGTATAGACAGTTTTTAACTGGGGGTCACAGCCACGGTTCGCCCCTTACTAATAAGAACTCCCAAGCCTCTGCCTTCCGGCTACCCACGCAGGGCCCCAAATTCCCAAGAGATATTCCCTGAGGTCTCCTTGGCCCCGCCCAGAAGCCTAACTCTTAGCCTGATTGGACCGCAATAAAAGGAGGCCCCGCCCACAGCTCCATGATGTCACAGCCCCCTTTTCAGACTAGAACTTTCCCAGCGTCTCCCGAAGGGGACTTACCCTGGGGGCTCTGGTTTCCAAGTTAAGGGAAGGGCTTCTGGCCTTCAATCTCCGCCTCTCTCTGGGCCCCAGGACCCAGGCTTTTGGCTAGCTGACCCCGGCCCTCGGGAAACACTGTCCTCTAGCCACGAAAACGTGGGAAGTGCTCCTTTCTAGCCCTAGGACTACGACTCCCAGAAGGCCCTGGGGTCTCTCCGTAGCAGATTACTGCAGACAACCCCATAGCTTTATGGGAAATGTAGTTCAAGAATTATAATGGTGGGACTTCACTGGCGGTCCATCGGTTAAGGCTGCGCTTCCACTGCAGGGGACTAGAGTTTGATCCCTGGTGTGGGAACTAAGATCCCGCATGCCAAGCTGCGCGGCCAAAAAACTTTTTTTTTTTTAAATTATAATCTTTGCTCACTCCCCCATCCACCCCTCCGCCTTCTTTCTTCAGCCTCGGGCTGGATGCCGAGGTCCCAGGGGAAAGAGAGGTCTGGAGGCCAGTGCTGAGAGTCCGAGAAAGGAATTGGGTCTCTGAGACCATAACTCACACAAGTGCACTAACAAGAGAGCAGGAACAGTATCCCAAGACGTGAGAAGTGAGAGTCCCCGGAAGCTCCACACCTTTACTCCTACTCACTTACACACACCCTCATGCACACGAGACTCAAAAAAACCTGCAGAGGGCTTCCCTGGTGGTGCAGTGGTTGAGAGCCCGCCTGCCAATGCAGGGGACACCGGTTTGTGCCCCGGTCCGGGAAGATCCCACATGCCGTGGAGCGGCTGGGCCCGTGAGCCATGGCCGCTGAGCCTGCGCGTCCGGAGCCTGTGCTCCGCAACGGGGGAGGCCACACAGTGAGAGGCCCGCATACC